AAATCTGTTCAGCCAATCAGATTTAAGTGCTGAAAATCACAAAAAATACCACAACGCTATTTTGAGCATCAAAAATACCATAATATCACTTACTCGCCACCTACTGTAGTTACATGAATAAGCACAAAACAAAAACAATATCCTAACTTGCTTATATCGCGTGCCGATATCTAATAATCTACTTTCAAATGGCCTCACGTACAGAATCTACACCAGCTGGAAGAAAAACAAGCATATTTCAGCAAACCATAAATGAGTGACTTACTCATTTAGAGCACTGCCTATGGCAGCCAACCGGCCTGCCAACGTAACTAGCTGTCAAAACCGAGCAGCGAAGCTTTCTTATCCAGCTTCATCCAAAGACAATTACATAAGCTTTGCATCTTATTTTTGGTGAAAAAAGCAAAAAAAAGAGTTAATGTGGGCTGAGGTATTTATGCAAAACAGGGAGGAAGGAAACAAGGCCAGTAAGTGTTAGAAATCGGTTCAAGCGCTGCATGTAAAGTCACATTCACAGGTCTATTTTTAATCAAGCTTGAAGGAAATATGGTCTCAACATCTTGAAGATTTTGATGCAGCGATCAAAATATGACCACGGTGGCAGATTAGCTGCTACGGCAAACACTTGGCTAGCACGTAGCTGCGCATTCGTACAGTGAAATTATGTTTATATTGACAGCTATAGAGTTAAACTTAGCTCAATCTAAATCTGGCTTCATTTAACGCTGCAGGAGTTCATTAAACACTGGTAATTTTACCGGGGTCTGGCTGTGCGTATTGTTTATTTGATTAGCATATTGCAAGCTATACTGTAGGGTTCAAGCTACAGGATGTATATCTAACAAAACTGCTTTTCAACTTGTCCGAAGCATTACACTAAGATTTTATGAACAGGTAAAATCAATAACTTCAAGAACAACTGTGAAATCGATAATACTAACTAAGTAAGCCAGGAAATATGGAATGGCTTCATGGCAAAATGGTGTCAGTGTGGTACAAATGCAGGAAGTGTTCTTCAAAATATCTTTTATGACAATAAAAAAAATCATACACAGCCTAGCCATACCAGCCTGTTTAATCCAAGGTTTTGGCTGGGTTATCTTAACAACATAATTTATTTATAGAAAAATTATATTTAAATAATATTACACACACACGTTAGTTTTTCCCTATATAAAAATGTATGTGATGAAATGTGAATATTATTTATTTGTATGTGTATTATATACGTACACACACACACACATTCACAAACCTATATATTATAATTATTGTAATATCATACATTAAAAATGGACAGTTTTTTCCATATTCCCCTGGCTTCATCAGTCAAATCCTGCATGTTTTTCTTAATTTTTACATTAAAAGCACCACAAAGTCCCACGGACAAAATACCACTGTGATACTGTTTTTAGACACTATTTATTGCAGTACTATAGTATTCTTAGAAGTAGCTTGAAAAATCTTGAAAAACTTAAATGTAAATACCACAGCACTTGTTTACATGGGTAGATCTTCAAAACAACTCTGAACAAGCGGCATGGTGTTTCTACAACATGACCTTTACTGGCACGAGACGGAGTGTCTCGTATTTCCCTTGACAAATAGCAATATGACGCTACAACTGACTACATCTGCTTTGCTTCCATTCTGAGCCTCTGAAGAGCAGCCACATTATCTAATACACCACAGAGTAGAAGCCACATAGAAGACACATAGACACCGACCGAAAGTGACACACTCACACATGCACACACACCATACGGACACAGCCATAGCAACTGCTGCTGTAACTAAGGAATAGTGTTCCATTTGAGCCGCACATGCAGGCACGGAAGCCAATGATATTTCCATGGGTTCATCACTGGCACTAGCTGGAATCGAAGACCCCGCTTTTGGAGCCAAAAGACCAGATGTGTAGTCTTTGTTTTCGGTTGTTGTCCGTTTTTATTTAGGCTGGCCTGCATCGGCAGCAGAAATGCCATCGTAAAACATGTCTAGCACAACAAACCAATCTATATAGGCTGCAGTGTGAGAAACGAGAGGAGAACAGGGTCAAATACCAGAGGAGTTAATTCTTCCTTTTTAAAATGACATCTAATTAGAGGAGTTTTTTGCAGTGGAAGTGAGTAATTGGCCTGGCCCACTTACTGTACCGAGCCTGCTCTCGCGCTAGAACCCCTGTTGAGTGACAAGATTCGCACACCCACCGACACACATGCATGCGCGCAGACGCACACAAGCGCACACACTCATGCACACGTGCACGCTGAACTTTCACTACATGATGAGCACCCACGCATGCATTCACTCACTGGGAAATATATATATGCATGGCCACACACACACATGCTCTCTATCTTTCTGGGCAGATTCTTGCCTCTCGCTGTGGCCTAATTGTTTGCCAAGTCTCCATATTACACCTTTGTATTTTACGCTTCTGCACCCAAAGTCACAAAGCTAAAAAAAAACAACAGCCCGGGTGTCTGTCCAAACCCATCCTGGATCAGGTGCATGTCGCATTGCAAATTCAACCAAGCCCTGGCTGCTCGGGTTATTTTACAGACAGATGTCCAAATATTTGTCACTGTTTCTTTTCAAGGCTATAAGCAAACCGCATGGGTTTCATAGGTACCATTCAACGCTAAATTCACATAGTTGTCTATATGCTGTAATAGAAATTTTGTCATCATCTATTCACCCTCATGTAGTTCCAAATCAGTATGACTGATTTCTTTTGTGAACCAAAGAGACATTTTGACCAATGTCCTAGCTGCTCTTTCATTATAATAACATTGAATGGGCATTGAGGCTTTTAAGCATCAAAAAGGAAGCAAAGGCACTATTAAAGTAACATGAATATCCCATACCAAGTGTTCTGAAGCCATAAAATAGTTTTGTGTAAAAATTAAATATTTGGAATGACATGAGCGTGAGAAAACAGAACAGACTTTTCATTTTTGGATGATCTATCCCTTTACTTTTATAAAAACTTACTGGTGCATGCAAATTATTTCAATATGTATTATTTCTACATATTTCTTCTTGTTTTCCACCTTATACATGCACTGCAATTACGTCATCTGCCTCTTCAAATGCTCACACTCTTTTTAAAGTTAGGTGGATTCTGATTTGCCGTCAATGTTTTTAAGCATTCATCAACTAGATAAAATAATTCTGAAAGTAATTCCACTAATACTGTTCCTCTGTTTCGTTATCGTTATAGTTGTGGTGAAATTGACTTTTAACAATTTCATTAGAAAGGTTATAGTGTGAACGGGCCTTAAAGGATTAGTTTCCTGATAATTTACTCACCCCCATGTCATCCAAGATGTTCATGTCTTTCTTACCTATCATGTCTTAGTTGCAAAGAAATTACGTTTTTTGAGGAAAACATTCCAGGATTTTTCTCCATATAGTGGACTTCAATGGTGGCCAACAGGTTGAAGGTCCAAATTACAGTTTCAGTGCAACTTCAAAGGGCTCTACACGATCCCAGCTGAGGAATAATTGTCTTATCTAACGAAACGAACGGTCATTTTCTAAAAAAAATTTAATAATTATACTTTTTTTAACCACAAATGTTTGTCTTGCACTAGTCTCGCGTAGCCAGACCTTCAGACTGACGGCTGAAGGTCTGGAATCCATGGCAGCTTTCATTGGCCAAGGCCCGCCCATGAGGCCGTTTGACCGACATGTCAAACAACCAATCACAGTTCATTGTGTTCACTGTCACGTTTCGGGGCGTGGAAATGTCGCCACAATAACAGACCGGTGTGTAAAACTCTCGGACATATTTTAAAGATTCTATGCCGCAAACTTTACATTTTTCACATACTTTTGAAAATCCAGCGTTTAGTTGATCCTGATAAGTGCTCGTCGTCACATTTGTAAACACAACGGCTTTCTTCTTTCGTGAGGGGCTTTGGCGGCACGGCATCTTTGTTTCCAGGCATAACGTTAAAGAACGCAACACACACGTCTCCCGGAAATCCTGTATAATTCAACCAATCCGATGACGACTTCAAAACTGCTGAAGTGTTTCCACTTTTGTGTGCCATATGCATCAGACGTTTAGCCAACGGTCCGTGGGCGTGACGTCTGAGGTTGAGACTAGTCTTGCACTAGCTCTACAATGCGCATGTGCGACTTCAAGCATTGCGTAATCACGTTGAAAAGGTCACGCATGGTTTTCAAAAAGGTAGGTTAGATCGAAAAACTTCATCTCATTTTCTCCTCCAACTTCAAAATTGACCGACATCGTTATTTTACCTTTTTGTGTAAAGGCCGTTTTCTTTTCTTTGCACGTTCACTTTGAAAACACTGGGTCGGTATTTCCGCCTACGTCACGCGTGACATTTCCAACGTGACTACGTAATGGATGCAGAGCTACTGCAAGACGAGTGGACATTTGTGGTTAAAAAGTATATAATTCTTAATTTTTTTTTAGAAAATGACCATAATTTCACTAGATAAGACCCTTATTCCTCGGCTGGAATTGTGTAGAGCCCTTTGAAGCTGCATTGAAACTGTAATTTGGACCTTCAACCCATTGGCCACCATTGAAGTCCACTATATGGAGAAAAATCCTGGAATATTTTCCTCAAAAAACGTAATTTCTTTGTGACTGAAGAAAGAAAGACACGAACATCTTGGATGACATGGGGGTGAGTAAATTGTCAGGAAATTTTTATTCTGGAAGTGAACTAATCCTTTAATTGTGGATCTAATGTCCTGAAAACTCCAAAAAGTAATATTTTTGAAAAGCCAGGCATCTCTGCGGTCCAGTCCATATCCCATAGACCAATTCCCAACACTTGACCTATTTGCATCCACACGTGGCCTTATAAAAATAACACAGATTTGCCATAAATACTGTAGGGCCTCTGGTGGCAATAGATAAAAACAACTTTGTCCTTACAGAAAGGGACACATTCCAGCCTGGACATGAGGGACCCACACAAAACTGGACACATTTTGACACATTGACACAGTTGTCCTCAAGACCCATTTCTCCCTTCTGGGACAGCCACTGACCTGCTGTGGCGCTGAGGGGTCTGTCTCCGGGTGTCTCCCTCCCCCAGTCGGCCCAGGGATGGGGAACGACTTCGGGCGGAGCGTCCCCCCCGGGCCATGGTCTTCACCGTGCCATTGGGGCTGTTCTGCATCTGCTGGGGGTGGCGGGGCGAGAGGCTGCGCAGGGGGGAGGCGGCAGGAGAGGGCGAGCGAGAACGGTCCAGTGGTAGCTTGTTAACGTTCAGGTTGTTGTCACTGTTGGAGCGGAGCAGCACGCGTGGGGCGGCAAGAGTGCTCCTACCCTGGTGCTGTGGCGGTGTTTGCTGCAGCGGCCTGCTCCGACCCGTGCCTGTCAGTGCCTCCCGAAAAGGCACTGGGAGAGATACAGAAACAAAGAGAGTGATTACATAAAAAGAATAGGAAAGACTGTTTATACAAAGTGTGAAATGGACTTTCAACTACTCCGTCTGCGTCAAAGTAGTTCAGCTTTTTAGGTGTCCTTCATTCCATTGAAAGTTGCAATAATTAGAGCACTGTAACGAGTGTTCAAGTACAAGCTGCTAGACTGCGCTTCAGCTTCCTACCACATACAAAGAACTTTGTCACATTAAAAGACCGAACGCTGTCTGCTCATCAAGTTCACAATCACCCAGTTTGATGCTCATTTATTGAATTAATGAATACATTTGTTGCTGTTGAATTTATGTCATAAGCTGTCAGAACTCAGATCAAATTAATGTTGCACATCTAAACCCATGGTCGAATTCTAGTTAAAGAAAAAATTCTGGTTAAATAAGCTAAATAATTAGTTAACATTTTACAATTATGTTGTTCAATACTTTAAAATTAGTTAATTCAATAGCTAACATGGACTAACAAATACATTACATTATTGGATTACATTATTTGCTGTATTAAGAAAAGCATACTGATAAATTAACATTTACCTAGATTAATAAATGCTGTAAGCTTATGTGTTACCATTAATTTCAACTCGTCCCTCAGTTTACAAAAAAAACACATAAAATAGGTATTTGCAAACTAAAAGCATTTAGGAACAGTAATACTGGTGGATTCTATGAATTATTCAGTAATGTTTAATTCAAAAATGGTCATTAGTTGATATGTAAAAATAGTAAATCATCCTTTTTGAGGTAGAATTACTTTTCTAGGTCAAATGACTTAATCATTTACTAATGTAATTCCTCTGGGTAAAGTTTGACTCATGTAAACAGAAGCTTAGTGGACATATCACTTCATGGTATCCTTAAGGGTATCACACAAAAAGTTACCAGGCTTGCTGGACTTAAATGTGTTGTGAAATAGTGTCATATCTTTAAAGCTAAAGTTTGCCATTTTTCAATGTTAAATACACTACTGTTCAAAAGTTTGGGGTTGTAAGAAGTTTTTAAAAAAGTCTCTTATGCTCACCAAGGCTGCATTGATTTAATCAGTAATATTGACACGTTGTTGATTTAATATTGTCAAACCCTATTACAAACTGTTTTCTATTTTAATATATTTGAAAATGTAATTTATTCCTATGATGGCAAAGCTGAATCTTTAGCAGCCATTACTCTAGTCTTCAGTGTCACGTGATCCTTCAGAATTCATTTTTTTTTCAGGTCAGAGCGCTCATGGTATGCACAATGCATACAGCCGCCACTGGATGCTATAGGATTACATGGATTTATTTTGTATACAGAACTAAGGAGCACATGTTTGGCACTCAGCACTTTAGTTTGACTGGATTTCATTCTACATAGGCTACATTCACACAGCAACAGAATATGGTTGTCAATCTTGTTTTAGACTGCCAAATACACTTCCATTCACACACAGTTAAGTTACGAATGAGACTGATATGCACGTTATTTCCTGAAAGGGATAGATCACACAAAATTTTTAAAAAATAATAATAATAATCATTTACTCACCCCCATTTTGTTCCAAATCTGAATAGAACACAAAAGAAGATATTTTGAAAGTCAAATGCATCCAAACAACATTGGACCCCACTGACTTTCATTTAGACAAAAAAAAAAGTGTGTTCTGCAGAAGAGAGAAAGTCGTACAGGTTTGAAACGACAGTGTAAGTAAATAATGACAGAATTTGACAGACTTTGGTTAGTCTGTGCTGTGTGAATGGAACCACACAGGACAGCTAGTTAAACAGTAATATTTTGAAATAGTATTACAATTTAAAAGAACTGTTTTCTATTCTGTTTTAAAATGTAATTTATTCCTGTGATGGCAAAGCTGAATCTTTAGCAGCCATTACTCTAGTCTTCAGTGTCACGTGATCCTTCAGAATTCATTTTAATTTGCTGCTCAAGAAACATTTCTTATTATTATCAAGGTTGAAATCACATGTGTGTCACGTTGCACACACACGAGGGATGAGGAGACGCTGGGGGAACACTTTAAATACACACAGGAGGAGGGGATGATGAGACACACCTGGGATCAATGAACCATCATGGGGAACACCTGGGACAAATTAAACATGGGAAAGGAACACCTGGGGAGCAAGACACAGACAAAACATGGAACAGAGTCTGACAATGTGCTGCTTAATATTTTTGTGGAAAGAAGTCATACTTTCTTCTGGATTTTTTGGATCATCTGGACTGATGAATAGAACGTTCAAAATAAATCTTTATAAATGTCTTTTGTCACTTTTGATACATTTAACACACCCTTGGCTGAATAAAATAATTAATTTCTTCTTTAAAACAACTCTTACTGACCCCAAACTTTTGAACAATAGTGTACTTTCTTCTATCCCAGTACAATGTGTAGAGATAACTACAGTACAGTATTTGTAAGTTGTTAACACTGTGTGTCTGTGGTGCTTTTAAAATACTGCTCTGTTGTGTTTTTATTTTGTTTTTTATTCCAAACTAGACCAACACAGCAACACTGCCTCAGCCGAATAGGGTTTGGGGCAGGGCTATCTGTTTTGGCTGACCAATGGCAGACTGTTTGGAACACCTGTCTGAAAACAAGCAGTTTGGTGTTATTAGTAGTGCAAAAAAAAAAAAAAAAAAACTTCAGCTTTAACTTTTACTTCAATGCCCAATAGACTTTGTAAAAGTTTTTTTTTTTTTTTCAAACTGAGGGATGAGTCAAATGTATTTCTTGCGGACAGACCAACAGTGTGAAATCACAGAACCTGTTAACAAGTGTAAAAGGCCCATTACAATGTCCATAATTTTCTTTTTTTTTTTTTCATTTTTTTTTCAGGGGAAAAAAAAAAAAAAAAAAACTTCAGCTTTAACTTTTACTTCAATGCCCAATAGACTTTGTAAAAGTTTTTTTTTTTTTTTCAAACTGAGGGATGAGTCAAATGTATTTCTTGCGGAAATCAACAAAGTTACATCTTAATACTCCTTTAATACTGCAAACACCGTGGTTTTTGTTTCTTAAACAGCAAGACTATGCTGATCACTCTGGTCTCCAGAGACATACACCCACATCAGCCAACTTCTGTGGTTCCTAGGTAATATGCACACATTTCAGGGCCAGATGAAGCCTATATCTCCACAACACCCCCCTTATTGGGCCTAGGGAAATCCCTGGAGTTCACTGTTCGCACTATATCTGCATGATGAATGCATATTATTATTTATCTGCTGCCATATTAAAGGTGGTTCAGGAAGATGTTTATCCAAAGGAGCTTGTTTCTCAGAAACACCAGGCTGCTGAAAGACACAGTTCACGCATGAACTAGATATCACTTGCTGGGTGAGACAAATGCTATAAATATATTCTGAAAAAAAAAACAGGAGAAGCATAGAGGAGAATTACACCGCTAAACACACATCAAACTCCCCTATTCATTAATGTGCTGACGTAATGGCAACCTGGAGCAGTTAGATCACCTTCACTGTCACGGAAGGTTTTCATTGGATGACGGTTATTATGACAAACAGTCTCAGAGGTACATAAGCTCCTGTTCATTATTTAAAAGGCTACTGTAGAGTGATCATTACAGCAATAATGTACAAACCCAACCCCCACAAGCTGTGAAGAAATCCACCCAGCCTCCAAAGATGTGGCAGATGATGCCACATGAAACCTGCCAATTAAAAGAAGCCGGCATTCAAAATGTCACAACGGGGGGAGGGGGGGGGGGACTACATGGTTCATATGGGCAGCCCCATATTCTGGCACCAACTGAAGACGATGACATCACAAGCACACTGGCTGCCGGAACACGTTGGTTTTTGGAACGCTGATGAAACAGTAATTTGCTTCAAACAAGAGAAATCAAAACATTCCAATAGCAACATTCTAAATATAAAATGCACGGGGGGGGGGGGGGGGGACTACATGGTTCATATGGGCAGCCCCATATTCTGGCACCAACTGAAGACGATGACATCACAAGCACACTGGCTGCCGGAACACGTTGGTTTTTGGAACGCTGATGAAACAGTAATTTGCTTCAAACAAGAGAAATCAAAACATTCCAATAGCAACATTCTAAATATAAAATGCACCAATTCCAATAAACGAAACTGTAGGAAAGGTAGAAGACATATGTTGAGGAAGGTTAAAAATTCACAGCATGAAGTTTATTGAATTCCTTGCAGACGGAAATGACTCTTTCAAAGTGATGTTCTCTCCACCTCAGACTACTTCGCTCTTCAGATTCAACTTTTGTTATAATCTGTCATAATACATGATAGAACTCAAAGACTTTTCCACACCTAAGAAAAGTCAGAACACCGTGTAGCTCTAAGGCTGGAGCTCTGAGCACTAATCCCATGGAACAGAAGTCACCAAAGGTCAGGAGACCCCTGCTCTAGACCCTCAAAAACCCAAAAGATCACTTCTTACCTTCTTTCTTGAAGGCATTCAGTAAAGACTTCATATCTCCTCTGAGTTTATTGCTCAATAACTCCCTTGGAATGTCCGTTTCGCCTTGAGGAACTTGGAAACAGAAGGTCAGGTTCTCCTGGACTGGGGTTCCTCGGTCAGTGAAGCACAACGGAGAAGGCAAGCACTGTGGTGACAGTGCCCGCTCCACATGATGCCGTCTGTGACTGCGAGAGGAAACGGCAGAGTGCACAAGCCTCGCATGTTTCTTCGCTCGCTCTCTCTCTCGCTGACACACTTACGTACACACTAACTCTCCCGCTCAGTCTCAGTTTCTTTCCGTTTCGCCCCGCCCCCTTTAAAATCTGTGTCAGGGTATGATGTCGTCAGCATATATATGGATACGGAGTTGATAAATATACAGAGGGATCCCAAAGTCTGAGACCTCTAGTGCAAATCCTCACATTTTGCTTTGTATTCTAATTTTTTTAACTTGGAGCATAAAAATGAGTGAAAAGTTGAATTCAAAGATAAACATGAACTTCAGAA